TTTCTAAAAATATTTCTTCTCCCTTTTTTCATTTTCTAAATTAATTTAAATAAAAGAAAATAAAAGTACAATAAATTTACAAATTTAAAAAATTAAAAAAAAATAAATTTTCAATTATTTTAATCCAAAAATTACTATTTATTAACTAAATGACGCAAAGAAAATATACTTTTAAAATTATGAAAAAGAAAAATGAAAAGGGCGTTGAAAATTATAAAAAAATGAAGAGCTTTTTAAAAGAATATATTTTTTTAATAAAAATAATAATAAATATTGACAGAAAAAAAGAAAAGAATTTTTTAAATTAATATGTAGAAATAGAAATTCTTAAAAAATTATACGTATTCTATTTAATAACCTATATTTACATAATAAACTGAATTTTTTATATTGGAATAGAAAAATTCTTCTAAGATTGGAGTGTTTAATGTTAAATTTGGTTGAACAGGGTGATAGTTAATGTGTACATCCCGATGTACCGCCAAGCTATAACTTCGTTCAAAATTATCGATTCAGCTCGTCGAGGCGATTCGGCTCGAAGATAAAAAGCTCGAAGATAAAAATATTTTTAGAAAGTATTTTTAGATTATTTGCATTAATTTCAGCCAATTTCAAACAAAAATCAACGTTAAACGCAATGCACCAGTCCCTAGGCCCATGGATCTTGTCAAAAATTTTCTGATACTACCTATTTTGAAAATAAGCAAAAAAATTCACATAATAAATACTTAAATATATACATATTTTTAAGGTGTAACTTATTTGTTTTCACCTGGAATTAAAAGATCGAAATCATTTTAGCTTTAAATGTTGGCTAAAAATAATTATTATATTTTAATTTTCTCACTATAAATATTATTTGTAAAAAATTCCGAGAATAGAAAAAATTTTTTAGAAATAAATAAATCTTTTAAATATTGAATAATTAAATTAAATCTGATTTAAAATAGAATATAAAAAAATTATGATAAATTAATATATTTAAATATATTTAATTAATAACCTTAGATATATAAATAATAATTAAGTTACATAAATAATAAAATAAAAAATTAAGTATAACTGAAATAACCAATTAAATAAATGAATATTATATGTACCTAATTTGAATATTTATTAGAAAATTATTTATAGCCAATTCTTGAAATGAAAAAGAAGAAATGGAAATTATTTTGTAGTATTTTTATTAGTAAAAAATATACAGAAAAGTGCCTTGCATAATTAGTGCTAGTAAAAGGAAGGAATGTTGAGTATATATTTCCATAAAAGTGTGGAAAAAGTTGGAAAAGAAGTGGTTTTTCTGAATAAAAGTTTAGTGGTAAAATTTAAATATAAAAATTAAAAAAAAGACCCCCTTCCAATAGAAAACATTTTGAAATGCGGAAGGAACGATATTTAAAAAAATAGAGGGGAAAGGATTTTCGGCAATCAAAAGAGTTGAAGAAATTTATTTAGAAAAGACGAAATTAAAAAAATATTAAGTTCAAAATTAATGGAAACTTTTTCTTTAAAAAAAGCTAAAATTTAAAAGTTAAAATTGACCTCAATTCATTAACTTTTTAAAAATTATTAACTTAATTTCGAAAAATTCTAAAATTTCTTACAACAAATTAAAAAACAATAAACAAATTCTCAACTCAGATTTTTTTAAAAAACAAACAAAGACAAATATTTTTTTATTTTTTATTTTTATTAATTCTAGCTTTTGGAAGCATTATTTCCTTATTTTTATAGCTTGTATTAAAATAAAAAAATATATATTTATTTACATATATTTATTTGAACTTTCGAATATCTTAAGCTCTTTATATTTAATGTATTATTTTTTTAACCGTTTATTAAAATAAATAACAAAATTACAAAAAATATATTTGGAATGTGTCTGGATTATAAAATTTTAAAAAATAAGGGAAATTAAAAGAAAAAAATATTTTTTAAAATAATAAATAATTTAACTAACTAAAAGATAAATAATTTTTTTGTTTAAAAATTTTTATTAAATTTCCCACCCCAAATTGAAGGAAGGAGGAAGAAAAAAATAAATAATAAGATTTAAAAATTTATTTTTAAGGATATGTTAACCAAACATTAAAAAGCGTCATTTTATTAATGGAACAACCAGACACGTTTTTAAACAAAAACAAAAATAAAAGACGGATGTAGATAGTTTTTGTGTCCTTTAATTGAAAATTAAATTGAAAGGGGGAGATGGATAGGTTTTTATGGGAATTTTATTTTTTAATTTAAAAATTAAGACATCAATAGATAAGCTTTTAAAAAATATTATTTGTTTAAAAGAAAATATAAAAATATTTATAGAAATTTATTTTTACATGATGTTAAAATAATTCTCCCCCTCCCTCTAATAAAGTTCAAACATTAATTAAATTATGAATAATAAAATTAGTCATTCTTTTGCTTTTTGACAAACAAATAGTGAAGAATTATGGCTCGGCATGTGAGGACTTTGGGGATAATTTTCATTAAATTAAGCATAAAAGGCTAAAAATTTGATGGAACATTGTTATATATTAATGGCCATAAGTTTAAAATTAGCCTATAATTAAGCCAAATTTTTTGAAATTAAAAATATCTTTTCAAACAATTAACAAAAGTACGTTCCATATTCTCAAATGTGTTACTGAGAGATTTGACAGTTAATAATATGCCGAAATATTTTTTTCTTGAAAATGAGATAATTGCTACCTTGTAGCAAATTTTAAGGGCTTTCAGATAAGCCTAAAATAAAAATTTAAAATACTCTATGAGGGGTCGAAAAAATTTTTAGAATCAGATTACCCCTATTTTACGTTGATCTTCGGGTATCGAGATCTCGAAACTGGAAGGAGATATGGGCCTAGTTCTTTTTTATTTTTCCTTAGTATCTATAAATAAGTTTATTGAAATTTTTCTAGAATTTTCCTACCTTTAGAAATGCGAAAACCCAAAGTGTTCATATAATTATGTGGCGGTCGAAAAATTAAAAAATTTTTTAAAAATTTTACCTTTGAACGATTTTCAGATTTTCTTTTTTCTAGGACGATTTTACCCGATTTCTAAAATAAATTAAGGTTAAAAATCGGTATTTGCCTTCCAAACACGGAGAAAGTGGAAATTTAAGGGTGTTCATATAATTATTAGAGTTTCACCGGAAGTTCCGGTTCCGGTTCCGGTTCCGGAAAGTTCCGGTGTTTTTTTGGTTCCGGTTCCGGTTCCGGGAACCGGAACTCAAATTGGTTCCGATTCCGGCTCCGGTTTTTAAATCGGTTCCGGGCAAACCGGAACTTTTTTACACCCCTAAAGATTGATTTTTTTAAAAATATGGGTTGGCCTTCCCCGGCTGGCCTTGCAATATTCTCAAAATTTTCGCCTGCGGCGCCAGAAAAGGAATAAATCTAGCTCATTGTCCTGACAAATTTTCAAAATTTTTGCCTGCGGCGCCAGAAAAGGAAGAAATCTGGCTTCTTGTCGTTCCAAATTCTCAAAATTTTCGCCTGTTAAATAAAGCTGAATGTTATATCGTAGGATTTGTATGGATGAAGGTGGATTTTAACTTACATCATGTGATTTCAAGGGGCCATAGGTAATACTGAGGGATTTGGGTGTGATACTGAGGGATTGAGCTGTGCAAGGTAGATATCAGGGATAGGATAGCTGGGGATTTGGCCTTCCAAAACTTGGCATTTCTCACTTGGTCTTTCTAAATTCACAAAATTTTCGCCTGCGGCGCTAAAAAGGAAAGAAGAATAAATTATTTTTTGAATAATGGATTTGGATGATATTGGGTGATCTCGTGTATCAAGAATTATAATGGTATATCGGTGATTTGATATCTAGTGATCTGGTGGGATGAAAGATAATTCGAAGAAATTCGGGGATCAAAGGGGAATTCATATAATTGGTGTGGTATCGGGCATATCAGGGGATTTGGGTAGTTCGGTTCGGTTTTACGGTCCGGTTTTGGTTAACAGAAAGTTCCGATTCGATTAATCGTTTCGGTTAACAGAATAATTGGGTGAAACCGACAACCCTACCTTAAATTTAAATTTTTTTTATTTTTTAAAATTTTTTACATTTGCTAGCAAATTTTTTTAAAGTTCCGCTTCCGGTTCCGGTTCCGGGCCGGAACTTTGAAAAGTTCCGGTTCCGGTTCCGGAAACCGGAACTCAAATTGGATCCGGTTCCGGTTCCGGTTCCGGTCAAAATTTCGGTTCCGGTGAAACACTAATAATTATGTGGCGGAGTGTAGTTGCCTCTTGGTATCTTTGATTTTTTGGTAAAACAATAATAGTACTTTTTTCAATTTACACATATTGGATTCTTTTTAAAAAAATAATTAAAACTGTTTGTGTAAAATAATATTAAATAATAAAATAAATATCTATTTATTTTATCAAAATATTGACCTCATAAATGGAAACGTGCCTACTCCAAAATTTCAAGCACTCTTTAAATAAAAATGCCAATACTGTTACATATAATTCTGGTTTAGACTACTTTTCTTTCTATTCTCTGGATTTTATTCTATCAGACTAACCATCAACTATAACACTCGAGAGAATATCGATGTTGCGGAAAACCGAGAATCTTTAGAATATATATCCTGCTTCTACGGGATATTTAATAAAAAATATTTGAATAATAAAGCAAATAAAAGTCCAAATTGAAAAAAATTTATTTAAAAATAAAAATAATTTACAGGCAAGAAAATAATTAAAAAAGACGTAAAATATATATGGACATACATAGCAATTATGTATATTTAAAAGTCCCTTTCATTTCCGTTATTTTTTAAAAATAAATAACAAAAAAAATTGTTAAAGTGATAATTTAAAAACAGATTTCTTAGACAACGCTTTAAATAAAAATTATCTTAGAAAAATATTGTGTTAGTTATTGATAATTTATTTTGGTTGAAACAAAAAAATATTTAGTTAAAAAATAATTTAAGTGATTTTCGTCGTTTTTGTTTTTTAAAGATTTCGTTTTTTAATTAAAATTTAATTTTCAGCCAAATTTTGTTTCGATATTGTTTTCTCAAGTTGCGCCTGGCTATTTTTTAATTGAGTACGGACAGCAGCCAAATGTTCGAGTATTTGTCGAGAACGTGTTGTATTGTTGTCTCTTCTCATATTAAATGAACGATATTGAGAATTCTAAAAGAAAAGTTAAAAATATTTAAAGCTTGGAGTGCTAAAAGAGAAACGGGAAACCTAGAGCAAAATTCAATCGAAAAATTGAGACAAGATTTCATCTCGATAGTAGAAAAACACGTCCATTCTTGCGAAGGGAATATATTAGGTAATTTGGATGTTCCATTAATCGGTTATTTTATAAAAAAAAAACCAAAAACTGTTATCTATATCCCAATGAAATATTTACATGTTTATTTTATTCAATACAAGTTTTTCTATTTAAAGAATTTCAACCAAACTTACTTTACAATTAAACGGTTTTGGTGTAGTACTTCGACTTTTAACATTATTATTATTTGATTTATTGTCTTCCAATGCCACTTCATTGTCATCATCAATAGTTGACAAACTTTGAAGTGATTCTTGAAGACGGCGCATTGTCGGTGATCGTAAACTTTGTCGAATACCAAAAGATTCCTTTTATTAAATTTTTTGTTTTTAAATTCAAAAAATAAAATTTAATACATTGTTTGAATTAACAATTTCGTTTGAATTTTTACGGGAAAATGGAGAAGGCACTGAAGAAGTTATTAACATAGAATTATTAATTTTAGTTGTTCTAGGAATTGTTAATGAACTATTGTTGTTATTTATATTGTTAAAAAGATCGTCCTTTAAAATAATTTTTTAAATAATAGTGTAGAAATATTTAGTAAAAATGAATATCAGGATTTGAGAACAGACATTAGTGGATAATTTCCATTAAATTAGGTAAGCATAAAGTCAGTAAAGGAGATTTACAATAAGGATTTGATTTTATGTCACACACTCATTCTGAAAGAAAACCACCTCAAAAAAGTACGAACTATTGTCTAAAATTTTTCCAAGCGCCTTTAACTTTGTATCGAAGTGGTGGCACTTCGAAAATTCTTAATATTAGTTACTTATTTATTTTTTTTCATTAACTTTAATTTTAATAGAGTTATGCCACAAATAGTGTTCGGCTACTTTCTGGTCACCTTGTACACGAATTTAATTTTATGAAATAAAATTAAAGAAATAGAGTTTGACTTTCATTCGAGGTTCAAAATTACTGAGAATCTTTGACTGGGAAATTAAAAATTATTTTAAACACCTGTGATCCAGAAGGAGAAGAAAGAAGTGTACGAAATTTGAAAACGTTAGCACTCTCTCTAGATGTTGTAGAAGAAGAACTCCCTGGTGAATTAATAGATTGTGTTGAAGAACTGGAAACATTTTCATTTGTTTTTCTTAAGAAAATATTTTCAAAAAAGAATTGATTAGTAGGAAATAACTTTTTGAATGATCAAAGAAACATGCAAATCAGGTTTGTAAAAATGTGGTAATTATGCGACTCGGTTAATTGAACCGAGACAAGAATTTAAAAATAAAAACGAAAATCGAGTGATCGGTTTTAAATTGAGCCTTTCACCACCCCGGTGGGTAAAAGGCAAGTTATCCTATCAATATCTTCTAAATTTTAAACACAAACCCATTCAATGTTGTTGAATTAAGAATTTTGGAATTATCCTGCTTCATAATCGAACTATTTTTCATATTATCATTTTGATTGGATAATTTTACAGAATTTAAATTGTTTTTAAAAGAAGAAAAAGAAGTTTCATTATTTTTTAATTTATTTTGTTCTTCATTAAAATTTAAAATATTAATTTCTATATTATTTCTGTTTTCTTCTTGTTGTTTAGCTAAAATCATTTTACTGTTTGTTTTTGTTTCCTTATTTTTAGAAGATGAAATTATTTGTTGTTGTTGATTACGTGGACGTCTTAAAGTAAGTTGTTCAAACTGAAAATTTGAAAAAAATTATAGAAAATGTAAGAACCATTGCTCGGTAAGGCAAAAAAATAAATTTTATTGTAGAAGATGAAGTGAAAATTTTAAGAAAATGTCTTTAAAGTAGGGTTTGACCCCGAACGCTCGGGGCCGGGTATGTTGGGGTACGGGGTTTTCGAATTGTTTCGGGGCGGGGGCAAAATATAGTCGGGGTTCAGGTCGGGGTCGAACTCGATTTTAAAGGCTTAAAAATTTTGTTAAAAAAATAAAATCACAACATTTTTAGTTAAATTTTAAAATATTTTTGTTAATATTCAACAATAAAATAATCAAAACAAAATATGTAAATCGAGAGTTAAAATGTGGGAAATGTACAAATATTTTCCTAATATTATTTGTTTGTTTAATTCAATTTATTGCTATCAAAAAGAAAAAAAAACGAATAAAATTTAGAAAATATGGTGGTCCCATTTTATGATTATGTGACTGTGTTTAGCTATTAAAATATTTAGATGTTGGCCATTTACATAAATATTTTTTGAATAAAACGAGAATAAATTTATTTTTTAAGAGAATAAGTGAAAATTAAATGTAAGGAAGTAATATTTGAATATATTGGGAAATTTTCTTGATTAATTACTGAGGATTTTATAAAAAAATATGTGAAAATTAAAAAAAAAATCTCATAATAAAGTCAAATCTCGTTGTAAAATACATACAAACTAGAGTAAAAAATGTTTTGAAATTTGATTGCTATCGAGGGGATGCTGATAGCATTGAGATTCGACTGTAATAATTTTGCATAAAATTACAAACTTTCGGGTAGCCAAAATATGTATATTACATATTTAAAATTTCCCGATAAATTATAAACTTTTACATATGTTTTTGGAATACATATGTAAAACTTTAATAAGAAAATAGTTAACATCATCTATTTAAAAAGTGAGTTGGCAAATTAGAAAGGAAAAGAACAAAGAGTAAATTTTTGATTGTGAAATATAGAAATGAAGAGAATTTTGGGAGGGGTGGAGAAGAAGTGATGAGCAAAAGTGAAAGAATGGATATAACCATTAAAAGAGTAATAAAGCAAAAAATTAGTGGGGGTGATTCAGACAAAATAAAAAAAGTTTCTTTTTGATTTTAAGAAAATTAAATAAAGCAACTAATCCTTCAATCAAAAATCTTATCTCGTTTTTGTCAAAAATATATTTTTACTTCCTTCTCAATCTCCCTCCTCAAGCAGTAAATAATTAGAATTAAAATAAAAAATATTTGACAACAGCTGCATTGAAAATATGAAATTGAAAATTAAAAAATAAACACAGAAATTCAAAAATCAAAAATTAGACGCAACTTTGAACTTGACAGAAAAATGAAATAAAAAATAAATTTTCAAATCATATCTTAAAATAATTTATCAAAAAATAAAATACAAATTTAGAGATTTAAACAAAAAAATTTCTTTAATTAATTTTACATAATAAATACCAAAAAACAGTTTTAGTGGTTTTTTGTGATCGCGGAAAAAGTAAAAAAAACTTAATATTGGAAGAAAAGTGAAAGAAAAATGTGGTTTTCGGTTGTTTAAGCGAATGGAAAACGGGTAATTGGATTAAATAAAAATTATATTTTTTATATAACAATGTCTTTGTTATACATAAAATTAGTTTAATAAAAAATTGTTATAAAGAAATTAACTAATTTATATGCAAAAAATATTAAAAATTAATTTAGAAGACGTTATAAAGATTTTAGAAAAAGAGAAAAATGTTGGGATATGTATATCAGTTAAAAATTGAAATAATATTAAATAATAAATTTTAAAAATTATTTTCTAAAATAATTAAAATACATAATGTTTTAGTAACATTTTTTTATTTTTCCTCAATAATATTTTTGCAGAAAAATTGAAAAAAATAGAGGGATAATAATATTTAGAGAAAAGTCCCAAAATATTTATTTTGGCCTGAATGAAAGGGAGGAGGCAGTAAAATTTAGTTTTATTAATACAAAACACATTTACACGCAAGAAATGAACGGTGACACGACTTGGGCACAGCGGAGCAGTTCAACTGAGTCCGCACGATTGAGTCCCCACGATTGAGTCCGCACGATTGAGTCCCCACGATTGAGTCCCGGCACAATTGAGTCCCCACGATTGAGTCCGCACGATTGAGTCCCCCTTGTATATACCTCAATTGAGTCCCCATGGATTTAATAATTTTAAAATTTCCATATCCGGCATGCGGAATTATTCCAAAATTTCTATTTTTTAAAGTATAAATGCCGGGCAGACCACCTGAGCACCCCTGCTGCACCCCAAATACCCTGAGTAGCAGCACAAAAAAGTTTTCCATCGAAGATTCAGTTGATCATAATTCTGTTCAATATCGTCCAATCGAGCTGATTTTGGTATCATTCGACTCAGCTCGTCGAGCCCTTTCGAATGAGGTATAATTTAATATTCGAATTTTTTGTCCCCAAAGATTCCCCCGTGGATTTGACCATTTCGAGCCCCATATAATCGGCGAGAACCATGTTGATTTTTGTGTCATTCGACTCAGCTCATTCGAATGAGCTGTCATTCAAAAAATCTCTCGATATCCCTCCTAATCCCCAAATCACAATATCCACCCATATCCCCCTTAATCGCTTAAATCTATTTATATCTCTTAATATTCACCGATATCCAACTTGATCCCTCGATGTCACATACAGGTCTCCTGATGTTCACTTTAATCCTTCCAAATCCCCAGATATCCCTCTTAATCCTTTTTAATATAATTAAATCCACGGGGACTCAATTGAGGTATATACAAGGGGGACTCAATCGTGCGGACTCAATCGTGGGGACTCAATTGTGCCGGGACTCAATCGTGGGGACTCAATCGTGCGGACTCAATCGTGGGGACTCAATCGTGCGGACTCAATTGAGGTGTACCGGGGCACAGTGATCCATTTGCACAGTAAGACTTTTGCACAGAGGACAATTACACAGTGGACAATTGCACAGTAAAGTCTTGTTTATTCGCAAAACGACCTACCCATTTATTCGCAAAACGCCTGTTTAGTCGCGAAACACTCCAAATAAACGCAAGGCTCATTCACCTATAGGCCATAACTTCGTTCAGAATCATCCAATCAAGATGATTTTGGTGTCAGCCGACTCAACTCAAAAAGCTCTTTCGAATGAGCTATAATTTGCATTTCGAATTTTTTACTACAAAAAACCGCTTGGTTTACTCTATTGTTTTTCGATTTTCGGGAGCCTATATTTCTGCGAGTTTTCGTCTCCCGCGAACAACTTTTCCAACAACGGGAAAAATTGCTTATAGAACAGGGAAAATTGTTTTTGTTTAATAAAAACCATTTTATTATTAAAAAACTTATCAGAAAGTCTAACACAAATGCACTTAACCACAAATTACTGTGCAATTGTCCACTGTGCAGATGCCCAATGTGCAATTGTCTTACTGTGCAAATGGATCACTGTGCCCGTGTCGGAGCGCCAAATGAACGTTTAATAAAATACAACCCAAAAGAGCAACAATCTCGAATCACTTAAGTGAGGCCCTTTGGAAAACAATTATAAATGGACAATCAAAATTTTATTAATTTTAAAAGTAGTTTAAACGTAGGAATAATTAGTTATTTTTAGATGGTCTCTAATTAAAATTAAAAAATTCGAAACATCAAATTTAATCCATAAAATTAGATATTCGAGAAGTTGATCTTTTAGGTGATTTAAAGAAATGCAAATCAGAGAAGGGTTTATGTAGTTATTTTAATAAAAATTCTCGCCAAAAATTTTTTAGATAAAAAATAGATTAAATTCTAGTTTTTAGTTTCACTAATACTACTGAATTGTAGGGAAATAATTTTTAACAAAAATGTAAATTAGTGAAGATTTTGAGATTTTTAGATAAAAATTTAAAAATATAAACTTACCAATCCGGGTGGAGTCTTTTCTTTATTTTTATTAAAAATTTCATTAGCTGAAAGCTTCGTGACAGGTGATTGTGTATTAGCATAATTGTTGTTGTTTTCATTTTGTTTGTTATGTTTTTGCCAAGTTGGAATGGGTAAATGGGAACAGACGTGGGCGAAACGTTTCGTTTCGTTTCGTTGTTTCGTATGTTTCGTATGATTTTTACTGTTTCGTCTCGTTTCGTTACGAAACACTTTTAAATTTGTTTCGTTTCGTTTCGTTACGAAACACCTGTGATTTTTCAACGAAACGAAACAATTTTTTAAGCCTAAACTAAGGCCAAAATCTATAAAATTTACCATCTTTTATTGAAAATTTAAAAAATTTTCGCCTGCGGCGCTGAAAAAAAAAGAATTTCGGCTTCTTGGCTTTCCCAAATTGTCAAAATTTTCGCCTGCGGCGCTGAAAAAGGAAGATAGCAATTACTTATATACTACAAATCCGTTTATACTCCACTCCCTAATCCACATATACATATTACTTAATCGACGACAAATTCTATTACCGGACTCGCATCATAATTTAAAAATTGCTGATTGCGAGTTGCGGAAATACTGGAACCGGAACTTCCGGCGAAGCACTAGCTTATATCGCCTTCCTCTCGAAATGGAGATATGGAGACAATTTGGGTAGGCAATGGAGCAAGATGGTGAATTTTTTGGCCTACGGCCTTTCAAAATTTTAAAATTTTTCGTCTGCGGCGCTTAAAATAAAATTTTACTTGAAAAATATTCAATTTTATTTAAAAAAAAGCGTCGCCAAAAATTTGGCTTCGAAAATGATTGACCCCCCCCCCCTTCCCCGAAAATTTTCCTTGCTACGGGCCTGGCTTATGGGACACAATTGTTGTAAATAAACCAATAACTAAATCATTTATAAGTCATAGTCGACTAATAACGTATTTGAGGTCGAATAATTTCGAAATACCGTATAACCTGTATTAATTGCCCTCCCTCAAATAATTACCCCACTTCTATTAATTACCCCATCCAGTGATAGATTAAAACAATAATTACCCTCTCAGAAATGCCCTAAAACACGTTCAAATTTAAAACCTCGTATAATTACCCTCCCTCGATTAATTACTCCCTCCAGCGGAAGGTCGAAACAATAATTACCCAGGGTAGTTATTAAAGGATATACGGTAAATGCAGTTTTGAAAATTTTTTGAATATTAAAATGTTTCGTTTTGTTTCGTTTCGTTTCGTAAGATTTTGGTTGTTTCGTTTCGTTTCGTTAACGAAACGATTTTTAAAAAATTTTGTTTCGTTTCGTTTCGTCAGAAAAAAATTTTGAGTTTCGCCCAGGTCTGAATGGGAAGACCATTGAGTTGGGATTGTTCCTAAAGAAGAATTTATGAATTTATTTACGAATTATTTTTTAATTTATTTACTTGATTGTTTAACACTCCAACTATTAGCTCTTGAAAAAGGTTGTTGTTGTTTTGAATTGTTTAGATTATTTTTAGTAGTTTTGGGTGTTGAATTTGGTGATGATGAATGTTGTTGTTGTTTAGGTGATTTTGTTGTTGAAGGAGAATTTGATTTTGCTTTACTTTCTGCTTTTTCTATACTTTTTTGCAATTCAAAATCACGAAGCTTTAAAAAAAAGTTTAAAAAATCAAAAAAAAAAATAGAAAGGAAAAAAAGGGGGGGCAGCCTTGGAATTACCCGGGAATCTATCTATATTTAATTTGAGAATACTAAATACAAACTTGTCTCAAAACATTAACAACAAGTTGATCGTCATCAATTTTTAACACTTTCTTAGAAGTTTCTAAATCAGCCTGCCCATCAAGAAGAATGTGCCGATACAATTTTGCACGTTTTAAAGCTTCTGCCTCTTTGTTAGCTTGTTGAATACCATCCAAACAAGCTTGATTGTATTGATCTCGAATCTGATTTTTTATTAAAATAATTATTTGTCAAGTGTTAAAAATGGAATATTTTTTAAAATATTCTAGTCATTAGTATCGGATAAGTGAAACAAATCAAACCGAATGTTGGTTCTTCCATTCGGGTTTGTGCATCCGAAGGAGATAGTCAAATCTAGTCAAGTAGGATCTAGTTAGTTTAAAAAAGTTTGGTATTCAATACAATTTAAAGAATTTGTACAGCTTATAATCGGATCTAGTTAACACTGTAATAGATACTTCTACGAGGTAATTTTAATTTAAACTCTATTTAAAAATATCCAATTTTAAATTTGAAAAATTTTTTACTTCAAATTTCTGTGTTCTTTTCTGTTCCTCAGCTGCTCTTTCTTTCTCTTCACGTTCAAATTTAAGTTTAGCTTCACGTTCCAAAACTTTCTGTTCCTCTAAACGTTTTTCTGCTTCAACCATTTCTGTCATTTTCTTTTCTTTTACTTGTTTATCCAATTCTTCTTGCCAATAAATATTTGGAGAATTTAAATTATTTTTTGTTTGTTTATTAAATAATTCTTCATTGGATGGAGTAGTTATTACATCTTTTGATGATGAATTGGCACTATCCGTAGAAGAAATTGAGTAAGGAGGTGTTTGGAGTAATGGAATTGGCATTTTCTTTAAAAAATAAACAAAATAAAATTTAGGTAAAAAATGTGTTTGTAAACAATCCAAATAAATAATTAATAATTTCTGACCAATTTGTCTAGGGGATCTCATTATTAGATTGCCGGTCATTAGAAAATTTTGCGCTATCAGAGACCGAACCAAGAACCGAACGGAAAAAAACACGTTTCTATGGTTCAGTTTGTATTTATTGTTAAAAAATAAAGCATTCTTAGATTGATATGTTATAGTGTTTCGCCGCGAGTTCCGGTAGGCCGTAAGTTCCGGGATTTTATGGTTCCGGTTTCGGCCAAATTTGCGGTCCCGGCGAAACACTAATATGTTATGATTCGAGAAAGGACGATTGTGTTATATGTACATTTTAGACAATAAATTTTTGAACTAAATTTAATTTGAGAATTTTCAGATAAAATTTAATGGTTTTCAAAAGGGTCATTAGATATTAATATTTTATTCCTCTAGAATTTAATGAAAAAAATCAAAATAAAAAACTTGAGGCAAGAAAAGAGGGTCTATAAACGTTGTTGTAGGCCCAGAGAAAGTTATTGGATTCTGATAATTATTAGGAGACTGAATAGGAATAAAATTATTAGGTAAAGGAAATATATTTTGTTGTTGTTGTTGATTGTATTGAGGAATAAATTGTTGTTGAGTATGAAAATGGCCAGTTAAAGAATAATCTACAAAAAATGGAAGCATTGTTGGTTGGCAAATATTTATTGGTGATTGGGGGGAAGTGTTTTGGGGTGGTTTTTGGTTATTTGCAAAGAAATGTCGTTGTTGTTGTTGTTGACCTTCAGTTGTTGGACTGCTAGTTTCGATATTGAAACTATTGTTTTTGTTGAACTAGAAAATTATTTTTTCAAAAAAATTAAATAATTTTTTGGATAAAATTACTTGTTCATCATTTCTAAATTTCTCATCGTCATTAGTCATATCTTTTTTATATCCAAAAGATTTGTTACTTTCATTCTTTTTATTTCTTCGGTCGCCAAATGGAAACCAGCTGTTTTGATTTGCTTCAGCTTTTTTAGAAAAATTAACAAAAATTATTTTTATTTTAAAAATTAATTTGTACGTGTTTAATAATTCTTAACTAAATTAATTATAATCTAATATTTCTTTCCGAGGTAGGGTAGAAAATTTCCCATACTCGAATCTTGTATTAAAAATAGGTAGGTATTTTTAACACCCTACTTCGTACCTTTATCTATTATCTTAAATTTTTGGGTACCAGAGCTAATAAAGGTACAGTAAGTAGAGCATGACTACGAGTGCAAATTTTGGTACTACTTTCAATGTTAATTTTATTAAATTTTCAAGGTTTAAAAATTTTAACAAATTCTTCATTTAAAAACAAAATACCCAAAGGAGGATTTTATAAAATTTACCCTTTTCCTTATCCCATTGTTCACGTTTTTTTCTAATTAAAGACCCATCTCTCGCGTGAAATCCATTTTCGCCAGGAAGTTGGGTGATTCGTTGTTGTTTTGGAGGTGATTGACGTGAATAACTAATTTGTGCCATTTAATCAAAAGAAATATTTAAATTCTTAAAATTTTATTTAAATTGTTGGTTAAATAAATATTTGTGGTTATTTTTTAAATTTATGACTACGAAGGTAATTAAAATTGTGAAAAAAAAGAATAAGGTAAAAATAAGAAAAAATGTGGAAAATATTTCAAAAATATACATACATAGGTAAATATGATATATTTTTGTTGTAAAAAGTGAAAAATACATCCTAGAATTTATCTAAATATTTTTTTAAATTTTATACAATCTTTCAGATTTAATATGTAATTTTAAATATTCCGAGAAATATAAAAATAATTTTTTTATTAAAGAAAGGATTAATAATTTAAAAATTTTTTAAAAATAGGGTATTTATAAATAACAAGCCAGATAAAACCCTTAAAAGAGAACTATCAAAACATTCTTGTTAAAGATTAAGAATATTCATAATATTTTTAGCACATAAATTTTAATTTCTCCATTTTATGAAAATCCCGTACTTCCAGATTTTATAATCTTGCCCGTCACAATAAATACAAATAATTCTAATATGTTCACATTCTCTAAACATATTTAATTGTCAGATTTAAATAAAATATATTAATTTATTAAATATCCAAAATATTGCGGCTTTCAGTGGATATTCACAAAAATAACGTTATTTTAGTCTAATTACATGCAAAATACAAAGAAAAATAAAAAAATAAATAAATGGGCGGCGCAAACGGTAAAAACACACAAAAATAAATATCAAAAAACTCAAGATGTTCATTTAGTTTTGTGGACAGGTTGTTGTTGTTGTACAGAAGAGATATAGGAGAATAATTAAAAAAAGAGATGGAAGGAGGGAAGGATATATGTTTTTATCTTTATTTATTTAAAAAAGTTAGGCAAAGTTAGCAAAAAAGAGGAAAACGATATTGGTGTTTGTTGTTTTTTTTGTTGTCGGGCCAGCCGGTCTAGTGGCTATCTAAAGTGCAAATAATGCCCAGAGATCGATTAGTAGTACTTGAATAATAGCTGGAAAAATATCTAGGATTACACATTAAATAATAAAAACATGAGGAATTTTTAGAAATATTTTTGAGAAATTTGAGTAGAGAACTGTGTAATAATAAATTACTGATTTTGAGAAATAAATTTTTTAAAAGAAATTAAAAAGGTTATTTTTCCTTTTCCTCATTCAATTTTAAAAGGTAAAATTTAAAAAAGGGTAACAATGAGGATTAAGAATATAAGTTTATTAATTCCAAGGGTTAGCCGTCTCCTAAGAGTTAAGGATTGTAGATGATCACTTTCTAGTAGATGAAAGTGTATGTGTGATCAAAAATAAAGGATATCTTTTTTTTGGGTAAATCCAATCAAAAAATGGGAGAATTAACTGGAAAATGATTGATTTTTTAAATATTTTTTAAACGAAAAAAGAAAGAATGGCATCCATTAATATAAAAAAACGCGGGTTTAACGTACAGTCAAAGAATTACAGGCAGGAATCGATTGAGAGAAGGAATAGCAGGGGCATTGGAACAGCAGGGGATTGTTGGGTTAAGGACGGACACCTGGGAAGAGTAGCCGCCCAAACCTTTTAAATATCTTATTATTTGTTGTTGGGTATGTGAGTGTGAATGAATGAATAAAGACAAAAATGGTAAACACATAAAATATATACTATTAATTTAAACTTTTAGATACATATTTTATCAAGGTTAGATCAAATTATCGATATATAAATTAAATCTTTAAAATAATGTAACTTAAAATAAAATCTTGCTAAACGCTTTTAAAATCTGACCATTATGAAGGAAAATTAAATAATAGCTGTAGCAAGGGGACATCTGTACCGATTTCCTATTCCCGAAAATCAGGAATTCCCGAATCGAGAATTTTTTGTCGGTTAATCTCTGATCTACATATACCTATACAAATAGAGAACTAAATAGTTTTTAGACAAATGTAAGACTAGAAAATAAGTAAAAGTCTAGATCTTAATTAAATTCATTAATAATATCTTCATTAATAATTTTATTAATTTTTTAAAGTATTGTTCTGGTTACAAAATAAGCAAATTGATTAAAATTAAAATTTTATTTTTAAATATTAAATAAAATTCTATACATAAAGATCTAATCGTAAATAAAAATTTAGCTATAAGTGAGGAACATGTTTATGTATTTAGAGAATTGTTTACATTAATATTTTTAATATATAAAATGACAAAAGCAATAAACACACACTTGTTCCGGTTACATTAAAAAGTTTGTTAATATTTATGCAAATACTCTATATTTTTATTTTTTTTTTTGTATTTTATTTTTAAATTTATAAAATTGATCAAAAATAAATACTTTAAAATCTGATTATAAAACGGTGCTTTTAAAATTTTAATCGTAAATATTGTAGATGTGAATTTTATATTTAAAGTTCTCTTAAAACCATATTGAATTTAAAGATTATAGTTTTAAAATTAATTAAAAATATTAGAATTTATCAAGTCACTAGAGATCGGACAAACGGCAAAATCAAATATTTGATCAGATAATTTGAAAATTATTTGATATTTGAAAAAATCAAATTCTTCAAAAACTCATCAAACAAATATTTGATCAAATAAAATCAAATAAAATTTGATCAAATATTTGATTCTATTTGACCAAATATTTTTTTGGTCCGATCTCTAATTAACACTATAGTTGTCGGCCTTGGAAAACTTTCGAATACCCGGAACCGTACCGAACTATCTAGTGAACACAAGTTAAATAATTTTGTTTCTTTTAAAATAATCTTTATTTTGAGAAAAACAACGCTTTACCTACATAAATTTAAAAAATATTAAATTGTTACACTATCCTATATACAAATTTATTTATAACTTTTTAATTATTCAAGTTAATATTATTTCTATTCAAATAACCTTAATTGATTAATATTTCTTGCGAAAATCAATCAAAAAACATATATTTGTTAAGCAAATATCCCCTCCCTCATTTCTTTTCTTATGTTAATCAGCGATCAGCTTTCACCAACAGACCAATTTATTTTTTACAATAAAAATTTGTATGTAGCTAGTTTTTGGTTTATTCAAATAATAAAACATGTTTTAATTAAGTTTTTGTATTTTTTAAAAGAATTTATATTTTTAGAGGGAAAAATAAATTTTGGAGGAAAAAAATATTGGAATAAGAAATATATTAAAAAATAAATATTAGGGATCACTCTGGATCTGGATAGGATTTTTCCTGGATCCAGAGTCCAGATTCAGGCATTTTTTAATCGTTCTGGATTTTTTCTGGATCCATATCAAGAATCCTGTCCAGGTTACTAACCTAAATCCAGATACTGAATCCAGATCCATGATTTTAGAAAATACCTATCTCTAATGAATATGTTTTTATTTGTCTTACAAAGAAATTCATTTTTATACTCTTTTTAAAAATTTAAAATATAAATTTAGAGATAAAATTTTAATTATTTTTTAGTTTTATCTAATTATTCTCTTCTTGAATAATCAAAAAATTCTTTAATTTAATTTTTCTTTTTGAAAGCTTTGTAAAGAAGTGCAGCTCCAAGTCCGGCTGCTGCGCCTCCTGCTAATCCTTTGAGCAAAGTTCCGCGTCGTCGACGACGTTTTCTATAAAAAATAAAATTATAAAATTTAATTACATAGGAGGGCCTCATGTAAAATAAATTTGGTGCAGTTTAGGTATGCGCACCATTTAATGAGGTTAAAAAGTATTTGAGAGGATTACCAATTTCAATTTGATGAAATCATTTAAAAAACTGTCTAATAATTTAAATTACAAACTCGATAGGTTGAATCTCAGAACCCAACTCGCCAACATTCAAATTCATTGGCACAAAACTTTCAGGACTTGGCATTGTCAGGACGGGAATTAACAATAAATTGATTAACAACAAAAAAGAAGTTAATTTAACAAAACTAAAGCCAATCATTGTGCCTGTAATTTAAAAAATAAATAAAAATTATTTGATAATTTATTAATACGGAAAATTTAATTCGATTAAAATTAAATAAATTAAAAAGAAAGGATTTGCTATGTACAATTAAAATATTCATCATTTGAGGATAATTCCGGTGAATTAATAAATTTAGTTTAGACATGGATCACTCATTATATTTTAAAAATTAATTGATAAGCAAATTATAAATAGTTAAAACAAAATAACAACGAAAATAGAAAAGATGATCAGTATAAAAATATTTATTTTATATTTCTAATCATGACAAAAATTTAAAAAATTCTGATATCTTTTGAACATAAATGGCTATTGTATTAAATTATCAAATATTTATATGTTCATTAACTCAATTTTGATCTATTAAGATTTGATCAACTCAAATTTAAATTCAGCCAAATAATTAAATTGTTCATATGATTTAAAATTAATATGTCTAGAAGTAATAAATATTAAAATAATTTAATAAAGAAAATTAAAAATGATGAAATAAATTTAATGAAATATTAAATTGTCTTCTCTTTTTCCTTCCGCAATCTTTACTGTTAAAAATTAATAATAAATTTTATTTGTACCAAAATAATGCGCGGGGTGTTTTTATAAATAAAATAATGATTGAGTATGTCAAGTTTTTTAAGAAGAAAAAATTTTAATGTAATAAAAGACTGGTTTTTTGATTGAATTTTTTTGTCATGTTCTAAAAACATATCAGTGTCCTCTCACCGCTCTTTGGTGATTGGGAAATTGTCCATAATCGGGAATAAATTTTAAGCACTCATGATCACAATCCACTGTGCGCAATTGCAAAAATGGTCTAGTTAAATCGAAAATTAAATTTTTCATCAACAGGGTTAAATTTCACAAAATACGATAGAGAAGACTATTAAAGCTTCTCCTCCCTCTCTGCCCCAAATTTCGTTCAAAAAATTAGCCCATGAAAGATTGAACAAAAATAATCTCAATAATTTCTATAACAAAGTTTAATTAAGATTTATTATTATTATTATACAGTTAACATGATTAGTAGAAATCAACAG